CGCGCCACGGGTTTCGGGCTTAGGGCTTTTTAGGGCTTGGGGTTTAGGGTTTAGGGTTTGGGGTTTAGGGATTGGGGTTTAGGGCTTGGGGTTTAGGGCTTGGGGTTTAGGGCTTGGGGTTTAGGGTTGAGGGCTGAAGTTTCAGGGTTTAGGATCTAAGTTTCAGGGTTTAGGGTGTAAGTTTTAAGGTTTAGGGTTTAAGTTCCAGGGTATTTAGGGTTTGGGTGTAAGTTTTTAGTTTAGTGTTGAGGGTTTCAGTTTAAGGGTTATTTAGGGTTTTGTCCCACCCGCTCAGCTGACTTAGGGTTTAGGATTTCTGAGAGCCCCTTTTGGTTTACCGTTATGAGGTTTAGGGGTTTCTTAAACCCCCCAAACAAAAGTAGGTAAAACAGCGGCCCAAAACCTCTAAAAGGCCATCGTTCTACACACTTTGGGGGTCCAGCTAGGGTTCTTGCGATGAAGATACCGCAGTCGTCAACGTTTGCGACTGAGTCTCTGAGCCGCGCCAACTGCGCGAGCTGAAACTGTGCCTTTCGGAAGGAGGACTACTATGTTTAGGGATGTTGGGCTTAGGGTTTAGGGTTGGGTGTCTGCAGAAGTTCCGAATCTCATTCTTGAACGTGTTCTTGGACTTGCGCTTAGGAGTCGACGTGCGACGTTTGGGTGTGAGGCCGATGAACTGCCTCGGGCTTAGAGTAGTTTAGGGGTTAAGCGTACGAGGGTTGCTTCGGGCTTAGGGTTCGAGGGTTTAGGTTTAGGTCCATCTGCACTACTCCCAAGCACGCAACACCGCTTAAGTTTCAGGTGGTGCCACAGATACCAGAACCCTTCACGACCTGGGAGTTTCATGGAAACACAAGTTAACCATGCCGCACAGGAAGCACCAGCTTAAAAGCTGTTGCATCCAGAAATGTCTCTGGTGTACTGGGGTCCACTTCTGTGCTCGATTCAGAGCCACGGGGTGCAGAGACCCGAAACCATAGGCACGCCTCTAGAAACAAGGCACTTCTCCACTGGGCCCGAACAGATTTATGAGGATGAATGTAGGGGTCGGCAGAACGAAAACTAAAACTAATCTCCCCTTGTAGTCCTAAGGAATAAGTCCCCTAGATTGAGCAGGCCCCTATATTATGTAGGAGTGCGAACCGGCTAAACTGTTGCATGCGACATAAGCCTCCACGTCACCGGCGTCGGCGGCGTGGCGCCTCCGAGCCATGAACAACTTTTGGTAGTATACTGTAGTAACTATAGGTATGCTTTGAGAATCTTCAGAGGCATGTATTGGATGGCTGTTCATACCAAATCTGCCTGCGGGGCCTTCCCAAAAAAGTGTGTCTCAAAACGTCTTACCCGATTTTAGGACACGTCGCTTTGTTTTCTGCCACGTGCTAGAGCAAAATGTTGGTCTCAGGACCCTGAATCCTAAACCCTTAACGCGAAACCTCAAATCCTAAGCCCATGTTAGTTTCAGACTCTAACATCTAACAGCTTCGTGAGGTCGGCGGCAGGCAGCTTGGATGCGTTTGCTTCGGTCGCGGCCATATAAGTGGCTAAGCGCCTACGGGTGTTAAGGTTTTTTTTGGGGGGGTGTCTGCCCACATCTAGATCTGTCTGTCGCTCTCCGTGTCTGCTTGCCACCGGATACAGGAACCTGCTTCGAACGTACTACGGGGGCCTAAGTAGTTACCTATCATACTTTGATGGTTCCTCAAGTATAGCTATAGTATCATGGGCCCCAAAACCCTTCTCTAATTCTTAAGGCCCCTATATTACATGCAGGCTTGTATATCTACACCTACCTACCTACCTACCTACCTACCTACCTACCTACCTACCTACATACATACATACATACATACATATATGCATGTATACATATAATATGGCATGTGTATCAACATTACATCCAGCCATGCAGGCGGTCGAAGACTCTGGAAACTCCAAAACCCTAAACCGTACAGTTTCAATTCGACCCCCGCTCACTAGACAGGATGTCAGGCAGAAGTTGGCTACACAAATCTGCGATGCCTAAGCCTCAAACCTGCAACCTGCAAGCCCTGAACCTGAAATCCCGAACCCCCAGCCCCCTGTGCCCAACATCCCAGAACCACTGAACCCAAACCCTGGAACTCTAAGCCTACCCATAGGCCCGATAGTAGTTCCTTTTTGGGGTTCATACTTAGAATCCTATAAGGTAATCCCAAAAAGGAACTACTATGGGGCCTATGGGTAACCGCAGTCCAGAACCCTGGAGCCGAAAACAGCCGAAATCCCTGACGAACCCTACCTAAACGCTGCGCAACAAATCCCTGAACCTAAAGACACCATATAGCCAGAACTAACTAAGCCCTAGACGCAAAGCGCAAAAATCCCTGAGCTTAAAACGCCTTATGGGACGAACCTTCAAAAAGGAAGCACCCAACCACTGCCTGGCCGCATCAAGATCGATGCCCCATGCTACGGGGAAGAGCTCCGGGCAGCCACCTCTGCTAATTCTGCTTGGATGTAGTATGAGGTTTAGGTTTAGGGGCTGGGGTGTGGGCATTTCCCTCTCGCATGGCTAGGGCTTAGGGTTTGAGTTTAAGCGCTTAGGGTGACAACTGGGGTATGGGGTCTGGATTTCAGCTTTTGTGGGGATTTGGGAGTGTAGGGTTTAGGGGTTGGTAGGTCTTAGGCACTCGAAGTGCAGAGAGGCTGAGGGGCCAGCGAGACAGCTTCGGATTCACAGCTGATTCCAAAGCACAGCCGTTGCAAGAGACTGTAGACTACTGTAGTCTGAACCGTAGAAGCCCCAAACCCTATAAACTCCAAAGCCTCAAACCCTAAAGCCTAGAACCCCCAAGCCCTTGACCCGAGAAGCCCTGTCCGAACCTTGGACCCCAAACTCTAAACTCCAGACACAAAGCGCTCGGGCACCAACAGCAGTTATCTTCTACTGAATCGAGATATCTAATAATAAGTTGCTTCGAGTTAATTACGAGGTTCAAGTTAGGGGTTTCGATGGGTCTTGGGTTTAGGGAGGAAGTCGAGTTGGAGGCAATGGCTTGGGGTATCATAGCTTGGGCTTGCGATGTTTTTCGGTGTGGGGCTGCTGGAGTGGATCGGTTTACTGCTACTCAGGGTTTGGGGTTTTCGCTTGTGTAAGGGTTTTATGATAACGGTAAACGGTAATTCAGCAACCGAAACATCAACTCCAGGGCGGTGTTTTGCGCTGGGTTGCAAGACGAGCATGAAAACTTCTAGTTTCCCCGAAACTCCAAACAGCCCAACCTTGGTACTATTTGGAGATATTTGGAGACTTAAGACCTCAATGTAGGCAGTACTTCTATACTTGAAGCCTCAGGGTTCGGAGGCTTTTAGCCAGCGGCGCTTGAAAACCGGTGCCTGCATAGCGGGTGCTGGTTGCAAGGCCGTGGTGTCGAGGCCTTCTTGGCTGTACAACCCCTTTGAAGCAAGACTCAGCCAAGCAGAAGTGTGTACATGTGTGTGTATACATACATACATACATACATACATACATACATACATACATACATACATTCCTACATACATACATACATACATACATACATACATACATACATACATACATACATAAGTATATATATATATATATATGTACGTGCGTGTGTGTGTGTGTGTGCGCCTGTGCCTTTGTGTGTGTGTACATGTGCAGAACATATGTTTATCCGTATGCACGTATGTAGATATGTATACGCATATAGACATGTATACCTTTGTTGGTATGTCTGTTAAGTTTGTACTTTCCCTATCCAAGTCCCAAGTTTCGAATGTGTTATGTCTCACAAAAAGCTCGACTCATTCAGGCCTTCTCGATAATATCGGCACCCTCGGCAAGCTCAACACCCCTGTATCGAGGCATAAGCCCTGTTAGGATTTATGCTGATTCAACGAACCTCCCTTATGTTAGAGGGACTTCTCTGGGCTTAATCCCCCCCCAAACCCTAAGGCGTCGAGGAGCTGTCGCAAAGCTTTGTCACGATGGGCTCGCCCTCTTCTATTGCTGTCGATGTCGTCACAAGAATCTCCAGCCGCAGCCTTGAGGGTTGAGGGCTGCTCACCCTTTTTACACTTGGGTCTATGCGGCTAGAATCCTAAACCAAAGCGGGCCGAATCCCAAAGGCATCCCTCAACCCTAACGGCCCAGCTCCCCCTGCCTTAGGGATGTCTACTACACCCTAAACTGGCATTTTTGTGCCTCGTCCAGCTACGACAAGCCCGCAAAAAACTCTCACTGCGGCTGCCAAGGCTTAAGGCAGTTAGACCATGTGCCCAGGAGGCAACCTCGAATTGGGATATGTCTTCGTCAATGTAGCAGAAGCGAGATCTTCACACAGGGTGGCATGTTTTTAAAGTAGCCTTTTCAAACGACTCTGGCACAATCCGGGTCCCAAGTGCTTGTGGAATACGAGCGATGCGCCATTTCGGCAGAAGGCGGCGTGCCCACTTTAGAGAACTGCAGCATTAATGTGTCAAAGACTCATCTCACAGCTCACAACCCCTTGACCCGGAACACGCCAGCAGGCTTCCGAATGAAACAAAATGAAGCAGACAGCTCCCAATTGGCATTCGGCCGGCTTGGAACAGCAGACCTTGATGTTCTGATTGATTCTTGAACCAATTGGCATTCGGCCGGCTTGGAACAGCAGACCTTGATGTTTTGATTGATTCTTGAACCCCACAAACGCCGAGATCAATGCAAGTAGGGCTCCAAACTCGCCCAGTAGTCTTTGCCACCCAGATTAAGAAGATCCCATTGAACGAATATCTTGGAGCCCTTCCACAAGCCTATGCCATAATTTGCATATACCAGGACTATCAGTGAACTATTCCTGCTCTGAACCCACTATACTGATGCCAACCCCTTTATTACAGGTGAGAATGCAGTTGGGAAAGCCGACCTGCTCGAGTCGGCTAGTGCTTGCGCCTGCCGATCGCTAGTGGGGTTCAAAGCTTCTTGGCTTAAAAGGGTGAACGTCTGTGAAGTTTGGGGTTAGAGTTCGGGATTTCGGGTTTAAGGGTTTAGGGCTTTGGGGTGAGGGTTCGGGCTTACAGGTTTAGGTTTACAGTTTAAGGGACTCGAATAAAGCCTTTCTTACTCCAGTTGGGCCCTGAAGTCTGGGAACCCTACACTTCTCCACATACGAACTGCACAGAAGTAAGAATTTCAGAAAACCAGGCGACCTACCATGCACCGGAAAATTCCCAGATTGTAATCCAGGGCCCCTGAGCAAGAGATCCCTATCCTACAAGTGAAACCCATCATATCCCTCAAACTTCGTACGACCCTAGTACAAACCCTTATCGGAAACTCCGCTACCTCTATACCACCTTCTTGGTAAACCATGATAAAAATACCCTACACAACACTACATCACCTTTCAAATTCCTGGTTAGCACCTTGCACAATCTTGGAGACACCTAGTAACGCCTGCCCAAATATGATAGAACTGTTCAACACCCTCCGGACACCCTGTAAACCCTTTCGTAACCCTATAGATGCAATTCCAGACAAAAGAAAATGCCTCGACAGGCTCCTGCGTGAGCGGCCGTCCATCGACTCGAATCTGCAGCTCGGCCTGACTCTCAATTCAAAATTTCGGAAAGTGTAGCTGACTATGTCGCACCGCTAGGGTGTTGGGTTTTAGGGTTTGGGGTTTAGGCTGGTGTAGGGTTTCCTAAACGCTAAACCGAAGGTTTTGCAATTAGGGTGATTCCCAGACTGGCCTGACCCTCATTTCGGTTTTTTTGTTGGTCTGAGTTTGGGTTCAAGGTGGGTTCAGGACGTAGGGGTTTAAAAAGCCTTTGTATGGTTTCATAGGGTCTAGAGAGTCTGTACATAAGGCATCTAAACGGGTTGTATGAGGACAAAGGATTTTGGGCTTCTGTAAGGGTGCGATACGAATGAACTACCATAGAGTGAATAGAGACTGTCATGACAGCACGAATACAAGAACAGTATCCTAAGGGATTTCAACGGAACAATATGGGAATAGTCTACTAATAGGGTTCTTGCGCATAACCGCATCGAGCCACGTTCGCGGGCCGAGTCGACGACTCGGCCGTGAAGCGTCCCGGGAAGGCGACGGGAAGGACGGAGACCTCCCCAGCGGCTCAACCCCTATGCTGCTGCCTGCCGCCTATGGATTTTGGGCGACTGGGTTGTGTACGTAATGCTGGTACATTCAAGGCAGCTGGGTAACCGGAGCAGTGGGGGCCATTGTGCAAATTGGGCCAAGCGTATAAGCCTATCTAGGCTTATTAAGGTTGGGTTAAGCATCCTCGAAGTTTAACGATAAGCATCACCACCAGTATTGTACCAGGGTCTTTGCTTATAGATGCCATGTTGATCATTGGTGCCAGCGGTGTGGAATGGAGTCTTAGAAACCTGCAATGTCCAACTCCCGGACACCCAAATTTGCAAGTCCGAAACCCGCCGAAAAGGGCTACGGGCAGCGAGCCTGTTTTGGTTGGTATTCGCGGCGCCTTTACTGCAATGGCTTGTTCCCAAGCTAGCGAATACGAGCAAAGAAGAATTAACAGGTACGGAGCGAACACGTCCGCATTATAAGCCTACTTCATCCAATCGAACTGCCCCCTTTTCCGCTTCCAGCCGAACCGCGGCAAACCTAGCGTAGTTGCATGAAGTTGTTAACCCAAATCCTTCGGCCTAGCGCCAAGGAAGACTTGCTATAACATGCTACAACTGTGTGCACACCGCAGCCCGTCCTTTCTGTTTGTCTTCTGCCACAACTAGACAGACAAGGCTCTGATGATGGAAATGTGGCCAACAGCTTCCTCTCCATGAACCCTAAGGGTCCATGTACTCATATAGCATATACATGGGCCTTTATATACTATATGAGTACATGGACCCTTAGGGGAAGGGTTCTCTACTGCTCACGTCGCGCTTCCCTATACTCGTTTGCTGCAGTCCCACCTTCTGAGCCCCGGAACTTCCTATCAAACCTCGCAACTTCCTTCACCCCTCGAAAACTTTCTGAGCCTCTGAACATTAAAGCAACCCTAAACCCTAAACCCTAGACCCTTTTGCAACTGGGCTTGATGAATGCCAGCACAACCCTAGACCCTAAACCCTAAACCCTTAACCCTAAAACCCTAAACCTTAAACCCTAAAACCCTAAACCCTTAACCCTAAAACCCTAAACCCCAAAGCAGCGACCTCCCCCGCCAGGAGATCCCTCGCGCCGGGGCTTCCCTCCAGCGCTTCGGCAAAGGCGGCCGGGAGGAGGAAGGCCGGGGAGAGTAAGCGCTCCTTTTGGGGGGTTTTTGGAGCTTTTGAGGGTTTAGGCGAAAAATGATGATTGAGGTTTTTGGCGTTGGGTTTCAGGTAGTCTAGGGTAGTTTAGGGTTTCGACTCTCACAGCTTGGGCAATCCGGGCGAGGCGCCTCGGTACGCATGTCAACTCCAGGGTTTTGGACGTAAGGTCTTTGGGTTTAGGGCCTTAAACTCTCTACCTTAAGGTTTATAGTGTTTAGGGTAGGGGCTTTGGGGTTCAAAGTTTAGGGTTTGGCAGCAGTGAGAACAGTCCTTCAATGGTTTTTTCGTCGGGGCTTCTTAAGTGTTAGGGTTTAATTGCACCAAGTAGGACAAGGGTTTAAGCACCAATATAACAAATCAAAACATGTTGGTACACTTAGAATCTGACATGGTATGAAAATTCCGGATGTAGGTTCTGCCTCAGAGAGTAAAAGGGTGTATACTTTTTTATGACGGCCAGGGTCTCAGGATTGAGGGCTGCATGCGGACGCCGCGATGAGAATAGCCGTATCTGGTGTGCAGCGAAGGAGCTGTGTGATTTGAGTATACAAAGCTCTAGTGGTGCAATACATGTTCAGGGTGCGGATGGATCCCTCTACTTCTGATGTTGCAAGGAGAATTGCCGCTGATTTGTTTCTGCTGTGACAGTATGAAGCCGATGCTCATCACGGATTTCATCACTATAATTTACGCGACTAAGCATAAAACACTAAACCCTAAAACCCCGAACCCAAAGCCCCCAAACCCTATAAACAATACCCTACCCTAAGCCGCCCACCGAACACGATCTGCAGATTGTCCTTCGCCGGCAGACGGCGAGAGGCCACGAGTCCTGGAGTTTAGTTCCTGTAAATAGCTACTACAAGGGTTCTCGGAGCCCTTAAAAGTAGAATAGGGTTTTGGAGTACTTTGCAGTATAGTTATAGGAAACCTTAAAAAAAAAGATCCATTCACACAGGCGTTTAGATTAGGTCGCTGTCGGTCTAGGGATTGCCACAGTCATGACTTGGGCATCAGACGGTGATCATGGTTTTGGAATGCCGCTATTCCTACGATGCCCACGGGCGAGTTGATGTGCCAGACAGAGCTACCTGCAAATGAAAAAGCACTGCCATTCAGGTTCATCCGTTAGCCATTCGCAACTCAGGCTGGGAACTCTTGACAAGAGGCCAATGCGGTTCGAATGCTGAGCTTCTTATTACGATGTTCGAGCTTCCCGAAAACCTGTACAAACGCGAGTAACATCTCAGAGTTTCAGTTTTAGTTTTTGACCACTTACACGAACCAGGTGAGCTCGAAACGAGGTTTGAGGCTCTTCAGAGTTCGGACTCCGTAAGCTTTTTTTTTGCGTGCCCGCGCGTGGTCTCAAGTTCCGAAGCTGCGCATCTGCGATGAGGGTCTGAACTGGTCAAGGTTGTTGGAGTGTGAGGAGATCCCCCTCAAAACCACCTGGACACCAGACCCCTATAAACACTGAACCCCTATCCCTAGTTAGTCCTAAAAACTAAACCCTGAACCCTGAACCCTATGTCTTGCTCACCCAAACGCCGTCGCCTGGAGAGTTCAGGTCTGCCGTCACGTGGCTGACGCATGTGCCTCCCAATGGGCCAGAACATCCCAGATCTGGCCACCACACACCCACCACCACCACCGTTAGGGGTTTAGGTTTAGGGTGGGTTTAGGGTTTAGGATTAAGGTGTTAGGGTTTAGGGTCACCATCAACATCCAAAATGTCAGCAACTTCAGCAAGGAGAATGAAACAACAGGCGGAACAAATGCAACTGGACTGATACCAACATCGTTCTCCAACTGCACCAAACGCAGCGGCAAGGTTGCAAACGATGCAAAGCCATCGACCAAAACAAGCACCCGACGCTGAAGCAGCAAACACATCCACGCAGCCCATGGCGCCAACAACAACAACAACTTCCAACCACTACCAATACCAGTAGTATCAGTTCAAGATACAGACGGTGTTACGCGTCAAGGTGAAGCTGTGCCTGTTTCATTTCAAATCCCCGAGACTTTGCTTGCAACCCACAGTCTTCCATGCTGTACCGAACAATCCCAAGACTCTGTCCTTCAATATCCGAGCCACGGAAAAGATCACTGTGTTCCCTAGTCCGAGGATCTGAATTAAAAACAGCACCCGCATTCAAAGAACACTTTGCTTGTGTTTTCATTGCGCCTGGATTTCGTCTAACCAGCTTTCTTTGCTTTTGTTTGCGATTGCTTTTTAATAGTCCAAAAATGAGCCCCAAACACCCAAGAGACGGTTTTCCAGTATTGCGGCCCCCGAATCCTAATTCTGGTGGGGGGGGCCTACTATTTAGATGCGCGGAGTACAGACTACTCCTACAGATGCCACCCTCCCACCCCGCCCAAAAAAAACGCACTCAACGGGTAACCCTTAAATTTCAGCCACGAAGCGCTAGCTAGGATCCCAAAGCCCCAACTTCCGTTGACGCCTCCTTCGTCGGCTGAGCCTGTGCGGACCTCCTCGGAGGCTTGAAGGCCCCGGTCGGAGAACCACCTGGCGTCGAGTCCAGCTTTCGTACAGTATAGCGTAGTATAGTATAGTATAGTATAGTATAGTATAGTATAGTGTACTAAACTACGCTATTAGGGCCTTCTCCTGCTGGATCCAATAACAGGGACGTAAATCTGGGGTCGAAACGTACGATTGTGTGGGCTTTTGTGCTGCAGGCAGAGGTTACAGGTTCTACAAGGCGTTCTGCTTAAGAGCTTGGTTCTTTTTTTGAACCAGACTCTGCCAGTCACCCTAGGTCTTTGATGGGTTCAGCCTCTCTCCTCCAGCATAAAGCCAGGAAGTTGAATCCTTTGCCGAGAACCACGAGGAAAGGAAGCAGGATATGACCTCCGCATGTTTTATTCTTCAACTTAACTTATGCCCTCTGCTATATGTGAAGCTTGAAAGGTGTAGGGTCTCAGTCGGTCCTTGTAGTGTTGGAGGGCTTAGGGTTTGGGCGAAGAAGTTTCGGTGTTGGGAGATTGATTCCGACAAGACTCCATGAAGCCGAGGATAGCTGTCTGGGAAACAAGCCCATCAGAAGCTCTGTAGACCTTACGTGTCATGCCCTGCTGGAATTTCATCTCTGGAGAAATCCTACACTCCTACAGCCCTTTTGATGAGGGCCTGCAGTGCACATGCCCTAAGGCTGTCAGGCGCGACCCGCTTTCCTGCTCAAACCCCAAACCTAAACTCTAAACCCTGAGCCCCGAATCCTAAACCCTAAACCATAATTCCTCCATAAGGCCATATAAAAGCCCTAGCCCTGAAAGGCGCCTCAGCATAATTTCAACAACCTAGACTCTGAACCCTAAACCTGAAACCTTAATCCACAAACCCAAACCCTACAACATTGACCCCGGCACCCTAAAAAGTGTCCGGGAGACTCTTCAGTCCCATAGGAGATGAAGAGCTCTTCTCCTTTCGAGAAGTTGGGGATAGTTTAGGGCTGTAGGCTACAAGCTTTGGGTCGAGGATTCTGAGCACATCCTGTTGAGAGTCTCGGGTTTAGGGTTTAGGGTTTAGGGGTTTAGGGTGTAGGGGTTTAGGGTTTAGGGTTTAGTTAAGTTTAAGTCGCTCTGGGGTTTAGACTTCGAGCTCTTCGAGCTCAGGACGTGCACGGAAGCATGGTGATTGACTTGCCCAACGTCGAGCCCCGCCTCACTCCGAAGAGTAAAAGACATGCTCCCATATATATATATATATATATATATATACATATATATATATATGTAGACAGACACACACACACACACATACCGTACACATACACATAAGACATACCCATACCCATACTTTTGCAAGCACGCGCATACGCATACATACCACACACATGCACATACACATGCACATGCACATAAACATGTCCATGTCCATGTCCATGTACCCGTACCCATACACATAACACGCCCGCGTCCATACCCATGCTCATACCTATATACCTTTGCATATACATACAGGCATACACACTCACATACACTATATATTGCTACACACCCACACACACACACACGCCTTCATACATGCGTACATCCGTACACTAACTCGAAGCCACACATCGTTCCAGGTAGCAGGTAGAACGTGCTACATATGCAAGGCTGATAAGTCATCACGTGCTGCTCTCTAAAGACGTGTAAACATGCCAGTCGCTGATGTGTTCAAGTTTTCTCGTGATCTGCATGACTGCTGTTGTTTTTGGGGCAGCTTCAGGATACAGGATGCACCGGCCCAAGCCACAGGGGGAACATGCCACTGGGACATAGGAAAAAGGGGAACTCCAAAACCACCAGCATAGTAACAATCACAAATTTAATTGCTTCATCAAATCAGTGACATCATACTTCTATTCCTTTCATCGCTGAAGAACGACCCGCACAAAGAAAGACCTCACGGGATAACCATGGAACACAACACAACAGCTTGGATTTAGGTTGGCACTGAAAGAATCCTTGTCCCATCGCCCGCATGCCTGCTTCTATGTGGCGCCGTGTGCGCAACTCCGCTGTGCTCCCCTCCTTGCAGAGACAGGAACAAGCTAGGATCTGCTGACATGCATTCCAAGGTAAGACAATGCCGGAGTCGTGGATAGCATCCTTATTGAACAGGTGCGTCTTCAGGATTGCAGCAACTGCGACAAGCATCCTGCACACTCCGCTTCGAATCTGTCTTTGTTTGCTGATTCTGCTGGTGGTCTCTTATTCCGTGGACCTTGAAAGCGCGTTCGTTACATGGGATCTGCAGTAACGCAGGATAGGCCATGTGCGCATGCGCGAGCTTCAATTCCAAAGGCTCGAGCCTGTTGCCACACGTTATCTTGTCGTGCCGCTGCCTCCTTGACTTGAAGATCGCAGTTCACCTGGGAGACAATAAAGCTGGCTTGAGATTGCTCCACCACACTGGTGAAGTTCGGGGCCCGAGATCTCATAGTTACCTTCGGAATATGGGAGCTTCAGAAAATTCAGGGACCCTCATATAGGACCATATCTGGAGATCTCCAGACTGACATGGGCTGCAGCCTCCATATCTGAAGCCTTGAATAGACACCGTAAGACCAGTAATGTGGGAGCCTTAAGAATAGAAAAAGGGCTTTGGGGTATGTTGTATGTTTTTGTTATATTTGTAACTCCCGAAATACTGGTGGTAATTGTTTAGGCTCTTCAGTAGTCGTAACAGCAATGAACGGTAGCAACAGTGAGCACCATGGTCCGAATAGAGCTGGTGATAGAAGAGTGGCTCCAGGCTCTGGTGGTAAAGCGCAAGGGCCTGGAATGCTGGTGCGATCTCAATCATTCATCTGCAACTTACTTCCCCAAAAAGCCTGGGAAACAAGGTTTGAACTTTCAGATTGCTGCTAACTTGTAAGAACTCAACAAGTTCAAAGGTCGGGTATTGGTGAACTAAGGAAAGAAGACGGCAGCAAGTGCGGTATCTCGCAAATGTCAATTAGGCGGTTTACTAACCCCTGGGAGTTTTCATGCACCGCCACGTAACTGGAAATCTTGAGTGAGCTTTGACCTAGGAAGCACGACTCGGATAACCCACAAAGATAGACAAACAGACAGCACTCAGAAGCTTAAAAACTCTTGCCATCCGCCGTGAAAAAAAAGCAAAGCAGGGCACTTTGGGACCTAAGCTCATCCCCTGTTTGCTCGTGGCTCGCGGCCCGGACAATCTTGAAGATTTGGGGTTCGGGTCATTCGACCTGCAAACTTAAGCTCATACCACAAATATCCCTAAACTCATGCAGGGCTTCAGGTTTTCCAGCCCGGTGTCCTAAACTCTCCGTCATATATGTATAGGTGCCCTCAGGCCGTGCCAGCTTTTTGGGACGTCGCCCAAACCGATAACCCCACAGCGCTTAGATTGAACCTAAAAATGATCCTTCAACCTAAAACTCCCTTAACCCCTAATCCCTGAAACCCCAGCCCCAAATCCTCCGATGACTATTGGAAGGAAGCTCATGCTGCTGGCTTACATTCGCCCCATGTATGGAACTTCCCCCAGGCCTCAACGAGCGTAAGAGAGCATATGAGAAACTCGGCACCTTATGATACACTTCTAGCATCATATCCCCAAGCCCTGCTCAAATCATTCCGGGCCCCCCCTCACCTGATCACCGACGCCATGATTGGCCAAGGAGGCCGGACCCACCATGAGCCGGCTCATGGCCTGCTTTTGGCTTCCACCCCTTTTAGGGCTCAGGGTTAGGATGTGTGTAGTTCTCAAACTTAGGATCCCTTTTTAGGTCCCCCGAACACAAAAGGACCCTAAGTAAGACAACTACCCATGTGCTTTTGCCTCCTACTTGGCAGGGACCCTATATCTCTCTCTGATGCTGGCGAACATAAGCATGAGGCTTGGGGCTGGGAGTAACGCGTGCTTGGGACTTACAGCTGAGTGGAGACTGGAGAGTTTAGGGTTTAGGGTTTACGCAATCGGTCATGCGGACTGTCACGAAGCAAGACACTTGGCGACAAAATGGATGCCAATGGGGTTTAGGGGGTTGGATGGCACCCCCAACCCTAAACCCTAAACCCTAAACCCCAAACCGTGGCACCCCATACATCTCTGAAGCTTCCCAGGAGGACAGCCCTCGGAGGCCCTGCAGCAGAGGATGGCTCAGTTTCAGAGAGCAGGAGCGGACCCATGCAAACCAGGGTTCAGGGCCACCAAACCCTAGAGTTCCGATACCTGCCTCCAAGAGCCCGAAATAAAGAAAGTAACCCCAAAAGCCCGAAGTAAACATGTAGCCCCAAGAATCCGAACAAAACCAACAAGTAACCCCAGAAGCCCGAAATCATCCGAAACTGCACCCCCGATCCAGAAGTCTCCAGAACCCAGAAGCCCCAAAACAGCCTTAACAAAAAAGCACCGCAGCTCTTCGCTACAAGTGTCCTATATGAAATCAGACCCCCCCTAAAACAACTAAACCATCTAAACCCCAAGCCCTATACCCTTTTTCCCTTAACCCTAAACCCCTAAACCCTAAACTCTATACCCTTTTTGCCCGCTAAACCTTAGACCGCGAAACCCTAAACCCCTTGTCTTAAGCACGGACTTGCAGTGTATGCCGGCAGCGAAGCCCTAAACCCCTAAACCCTAAACCCTAAACCCTAAACTCTATACCCCAAGTCTGCCTCCCCTCTCTTCTCAGAGGCCGGACCAGCAAAGACGTAGGTCGCCAACCTTTTGCCAAAGTCGTGTTGAGCGCTTTTTGGGGGGTTTCGGGTTTAGGGGTTTTTTAGGGGTTTAGGGGTTCAGGGTTTCGGGTTTAAGGGTTTTAGGCTTTAGGGCTTAGGGGGCTTTAGGGGTTTGGGGTTTAGGGGGGCTGAGAGCAGAGAGGCTTTAGACTGTAAGGTCTTGGGCTTCCGGGCTTCGAGGCTGTGGGCCTAGGGCTTCATGGTTTTTGGCATTTTGAGGCTTTTAGGGTTTCTGGGCATTCCGCATTCTGAGGTATTGATGGCCCCAACTGTGAAGGTTCGGTAACGGAGCTTGGAGACGCGAGAGACGGATTGAAAGCGCTTTCAGACCCAACCCCGTGAGCGGGCGAAAGACTCGCTCAAACGAGCGTCGAAACCCCATCCAATCAAAGAAAACTTCGTTCGTGACGGGAAGCTGGGTCAGCTCTGCGATACGGCTGGGCAGAATGGCGACGCGGGAGGCGGCAACAGCAGCGCCTAGGATCGATACACAGTGTTTGAGACTCCTTCGTCGGCTTGGCTGGCATTGATCTCCGAAAAAGCCATCCCTTATTGTTAGTCCTGTCTCTACCCCGAACTTCCCAGGTACCTGCTATATGGGGCCTTATGGGCTCTCTAGTACCCTATATAGTAGGTACCTGGGGGGTTAGGGTACTATCATCGCCAGGCTAGTCGTGTGCTAGCTCACTTTGAGCGGCGGGTGCGCGAGGGGCTGCGACCCCTTAATCTTGGACCTGACACTTCCGCAACAAAGGTTATGTAATGATGTATTACCCATAGGCCCCATAGTAGTCCCTTTTTGGGATGACCTTATAGGATTCTAAATATGAACCCCAGAAAGGGACTACTATGGGGCCTATGGGTAAGCTCGAGCGAAGTGACGAACCACAGGAACCTCCCCAAGCTACTCGTCTTGAAATCGCCTACACCCTACGCCCCACAGCATTTTTAACCCAAGCCCAAACCCTTACTTCACAATCCTCGAACCCCTGGACCCTCAGAGCCTTCAAACTCTCCTCAAGTCCCACACCCCTGCGCCCTCCCTCATCGACCCCTCTTATGGATGCTTCCGAGCTCAAAAACCCCGACAAGAATGTGTCGTGTTCTGCAGGACCTCGTAAAGAAGCCTGCAAGCTCCCGTCCCGAAGATCTGGACGAATAGTCCTTGACCCGGCCTGCTGGCAAGTCGATGCCTGTGAAGATGCCGCGGCCTGTGCGTCGAAAAGGCGTAGGCGGACAGAGAGACAGACGGATCGACGAGCGGAGAAAGAGTGAGAATAGTATCTAATTGTGCGCAGACATGTGTCTACATATACGTATAGACCTAGACCAGTATATATAGTTTGCACACACATACATGCATGCATTCAGAAAAACTACATACCAACGTATGGACACATACACGCACACACACACACCTATATATATATATATATACATATATATACATATATATATATAATATATTATATATATACATATATATATATATATATATATTATATATATACACATACATACATGCATACATGCACTCTCGCCCGAACAAGTCAGGCGAGGTTTGGCGCCATTACCTAGCATCTAGACATACATACATGCATGCAGACAGACAAACATACCTACATACCTACATAGTTTTGGCACTCGCACTCGACAAGCAGGTACATACCTACATACCTACATAGGTACGTACATACATACATACATACATACATGCATACATACATACATGCATCCATGCATGCATACATACATACATACATACATACATACATACATACATACAAACCTCCATTTATTCGTTTGTTTGTTTATGCGCATACGTACATATATACATACATACATACATACATACATACATACATACACAAACATCCGTGTGCGTGCCCGTGGACGTGAGTGAGTGAGTGAGTGAGTGAGTGAGTGAGTGAGTGAGTGAGTGAGGGAGGGAGGGAGGGAGGGAGGGAGGGAGGGATGGAGGGAGGGAGGGAGGGAGGGAGGGAGGGGGTGAGTGAGTGGATGAGTATGCATGTACACATATCCGCACACGCCAATACATACATATATCTACAGTTGTCAGTCATACAAATCAAAAATTGAAATTAAACTATAAATAAATAAATAAATAACTCTATATATATATATATATATATGCACATGATTACAAGTGTGTGTGTGTGTGTGTGCGCGTCTGCATGTGTTTGTGGGTGTGTGTGTGTGTGTGTTTATCCGCCATTCTTTCATGAACAGAACAGAAGCCTAAGGGTCCAAGTACCCATTGTTTAAGGACTTTGGAGCCTTTTTGGGTACTTAAAACCATAAATAAGGACTACTTGGACCCTTAGGGGAAGTTCTAGTTTTCTGTTGTAAGTCGCCTGCGGAGCCCAGGAAAGCCGAAGTTGAGCAAACTTCCAAAGACACGTGGATAGTTCTCTAAAGTAGGATCCCTTTTAGTGTCTTTTTGAAAAACCCCTAACCTCCCAGGTACCTACTATATGGGGCCCTAGGGGCTCTAGTACCCTATATAGTAGGTACCTGGGGGGGTTCGAGAATGGTGCCGTACAACATTGGGGATCTAAAACGGGACTCTAATTGAGAGAACTACCCACATCTCTGAGCCGGTTTCATCCGAGCCTGGGGTTTAGGGCGACGAGGTTTTAATATAGGGTTTAGGGTCTATAGTTTTAAGGCAACTCTAAGCATTGCATGAGCCCCCAACTCATGCCCAGCTCAAAGTAGTTCAGAGGTTGGTTTGTAGCAGTTTAGCACCAACACCATCGACTGCAGGCTTTGGTGTCAATAGGGAACTGAATGAGGATCCAACGAGGAAGAGTTCAGGCAATGTAGCGTTGACAGAGGGTGTTTAATTTACAAGTTTTGGAAATTTCGGCGCTCACACTCGGACACTCCAGGCGAAGCATATGGTCAGACGTCAACAGAGTGAAACAGTGTTAATCGCCCTGTGCGGGTCGGGCGTCTTGCACTGATTGCTGCACTCACGGCAGTGAACCCGTAAACTCCAAAACGTCGGTCCATGGGATACGGGTTCTTCGTGCTGGGGCCCTAAACCCCAAACCAAGCCTAAATCCAACAAAAAACAAAACCCCCAAACCCTGCAACCCAAAACCAAAGCTAAACCCCCAAAACCCCGAAACCCCAAACCAAGCCTAAACCCCAAAACACCGAAACCCCAAAAGAAGCCTAAACCCTAAACCCCGCAACCCCAAACCAAGCCTAAACCCAAAACCCCGCAACCCCAAACCAAGCCTTAACCCCAAAACCCCGCAACCCCAAACCAAGCCTAAACCCCAAACCAAGCCTGAACCCCCCGAAAGAAGCCTAAACCCGAAACCCCAAACCAAGCCGAAACCCCAAAAGAAGCCTAAACCCTAAAAGAAGCCGAAACCCTAAACCCCATGCACGGATAAAAGCAGCCTGCAGACGGCAGCGACGAAGGCGCCATCCACAGTGTGCAGTTCCGACTCCTTAAACTTTTCATTTGATATGGGTAGTTCTCTAAATTAAGGTTTAGGGTTCAGGGTTTAGATATGAGTAGTTCTCTCAATTGGGGTCCCCTCTTGGGGGGGTTCCCTCAAGGGATCCATAAGGGTTTCTAGGGGGTTCCTACCCTTACTATATGGGTAGTTCTCTAAATTAGGGTCCCTGTTTACGTCCCCAATATTAGTATGGCACCCTTATAAAAAGGCACCCGAAAGGGACCCTAATATAGAGAGCTACCCATACAGGGGCCTTCAGAGCTGGAACAAGGGTTTGGGTTTGCGACAAGTATAAATATTTTTTTGCACAGGCTTGCGTAAAGGGTTCGTCATGAAGGTTCGTGGCGGCTTACGGTTGTATAGGGGTGGTATGGGGTCCTACTATGATTCTATATGTGGGGGCTGCCACGAACTGTGTGTGCTGTAAGTGACAAGTGGCAGAAACCGCTTAGGACCAAGACTCAAAGGATCTGCATAGGGATGGGTCAAACTTAGGGTTTAGGGTTTAGGGTCAAACAAGTCTTTTCGGGGCATGGGCATAGACCCTTTTGCGAGAAGCGGTTGAGTGCTCAATCGCCAACAAAGTTCAATCAGCCGCGGCCCAAATCAAGCGACAAAGCCTGTGCAAAGTGTGCTCCAGGCTAAGCCGGCTCTTGTGCCATGAAGGCGGAGATGCAGAAAACTGCTGAGGGCTGAAGGATCACATACCTCTCTACGAACACATGTTTTTGCCCTAAGTTGTACAAACTTGTTGGCGGTTAGACTCATTGGGAAGCCTCCCGATTCCCGCAAAATGGATGTGTTCAAACGCGTGTTCCCGACTGAACAGGGATGAGGTTTGAGGTTTCGCTTATGGTCCCGTATCTATGAAACCCTGTAGCAGCCCTAAAACACCGTACGTGCATCCAAACCCGGAGTATCTCTTAATGTGGTGCTTACACCTTTCATCGCCAAGCCACGCCAGCAGTGCAGCAGGAAGATGGCCACCAGGCGCCATGGCACTCCGAGGATCCCTGAACCCTAGTGGTTTGGCTTTGAGCTTCAACCACGCAAACGCCTTGAGTTTAGGCTTCTGGGGCCTATACCCCCGAACCCGACAGTTCAAGCTTTAGGACTTTAGGCCTTTGGGGTAAAACTTCCGCAAACTTCAGAGTTTCTTGTCATGTCTCTTGCTCTCCTTGGCTTCATAATTCATTAGGTCCAATTTGCACACTTGCAGAATGTGGGGGGGGGGATGAAGGTTTAGTGGATCCAGTGTCTGTGTGTCTGCGATATCATCCGGCTTTTTGCGATGCTTCACAGTGCTCCTATGTTCTGTAGTTTCTAGGGATATGATGTGTCTCTGCATTTGTCGTACATTGTGTTGCGCGTTCAGTCTTTCAAGGCTTCCAGGATTTGCAACCTCAGAAACTTAATATTTGCTTCGGAATCCGAGGAGCCTGTTTGGGCAGATCACCGAGTGAATCCCGAAGCACTAAGCTCCCGAGCCCTAAACCCTAAACTCTTGGCTTGTCGAGCTCACGCCCGGACCGGAGCTGTTCATGTTCACACACTGTCGCAGCCGCTCCACGAATCTCGCGAACCGAAAATTGAAAGACTTCTTGTGTCCTAAACCCTGAAACCTGCAGTTATTAAACCACAAAGGCAACACATTCCAAGGGCCGCAAGCGTTCAGTTCATGACCTAACAAAGGCCTGTTAAAGCCATCTCTGAAACTGAAATACTGACTCCTCTAGGGTCTGGCATATTGGCTAGACGGACCATGGCTGACAGGGTGTGGCCGGTGGCCTCACACTTCTATCTATCACCCTGAGAGATGCCCCTGACACTTACACCCACAAACCCCGATAATATAGGGGCCTTGATAATTAGAAAAGGGTTTTGGGGCCCCTTATACTATACTTATAATAAGGAACCCCCCAAAATAATATTGGTAATCTTTTAGGCCTCCATATTATTACCCAAAAGGAACCATAAGAGCTATCATCCCTAAACCCTAAACCCTAAAACCCTAAAATAAGAGCTATCTGTGAGAAACACCGACAACTCAGCGCCTGGACCAGGCACGATCAAGCTTGGTAATATAGGGGCCCTTATAATAACTACCTATACTATGGTCTAGGGTTTAGGGTTCAGGGTTTAGGGCGTATTCCATATTTATAGTTCTGGTAGGATATACCGCAAAGCCTGTGAAGGCCCTAAGAATCCTCATCTGCGCAAGGTCACAAGTCCTCAGCCCGAAGCCTTCCGATTGCTGCTGAGAAGGTCTTGGCTTCTTCTTAGGGCTTAGGTTTTGGGGTTAGGGTCTAGACGGTATAGAGTTCAGTGTTTAGGGTTTAGGGTATAGAGTTTAAGGTTTAGGGTTTAGGGTATCGGTATAGTTTAGGGTTTATGGGTATATCTGAAACCACACGCGTAGAACATGGAACATGGCAATTCTCGAACATGTTCCGGAGAATCGCACGTAAGGACCCATGCATTCCTGTGGAAACGAGTTTCCTTTTTGCAGTCTCCACTTCTCTAGGGCTGCCTAATACTTACAATACATTACAATATGGGGTATTGGCGAGTATTGGGGCTTGTGAGGAACCGAAGAGGCATTGCACTGGGTTCCTAAGGTATCGAAGAACTTGAGCCATCGGCCATAACTTACACCTCCCAACATCCCAAAGCCAAAGCCTCCGAGGCCCACGAAAGAGCCCCACCCCAAACCCTAAACCCTAAACCCCTAAACCCCAAAACCCCAAACCCCTAAACCCCTAAACCCTAAACGCCAACATCTAGAACCCCACAGCATCCAGTCTGGGCTGCTGGCCACAAGACACCAGTGCAGGCGCATCTACGCCTTCAACCTTTTGGGGCTCAGGGGTTTAGTGCAGTTTAAGGGGGTTTAGGGGTTTAGGGTTTAAGGGTTTCGGGCAGTTTCGGGGGTTTAGGGTTTAGGGCAGTTTAGGGGTTTAGGGCAGTGTAAGGGTTGAGAGTTGAAATCTTCATGCCGGGCTCAGGGTGGGTGAGGCGGGTCAGGGCTAGGGCTTCGGATTTACATGGGGGTTTCCGAAAATAGGGGACCCTAATGTAGTACCCTAAATAGTAGGATCCCTATTACAAGGACCCCCAAATGAGGTACCCCTTATTTTCGGAAACTCTCACATCTCATCGAACTGACGCGTCACGTCGGTTTGGGCTCCTGCCTCGCTTCGTTCGGCTTTCAAGCAAGTACCTATAGCCTACTTTGTAGTTCCTGTTTGGGGTTACCCTTTTAGGATCCTGCATATATTATACAAACAGTTGAGCCCAAAGAAGGAACTAGAATAGAGACTGTAGATATGCCGTGCTGTTAGCAGGCACCGCGCGAGCCTCGAGCCGAAAACTCCAAATCTTTGAGGGAAGGCACGGGGCCTTCAGCCATAAACCAAGCAACGCATTTCGGAAAGGCATCGGGTGGGAATGAAGGATGACTCTGACAAGAGGAAGAGTATATAATTCCTTTTGCATCCAGTTTGGCGTAGGGGTTTCGATCGGGTTTGAGATTGAGTATCCACCTCTGGTCCCTCAACCCAAGAGTTATTCTGATGATTCAGGCCCATATATTCATCGTTCAGTTGGGGAGCAAACCTAGGACCTCGAACCCTCCAACAAAAGCCAAGTCGAAAACCCACAAACACCAAGCCCGCAGACACGAACCACGCGAAAAACTCAATGCTGCACTTCCCTTACAACCTTATACAAACTTTATAATGATGAACCGTAACTCCTAAGTGAGCTCTAGGAAGTATGAAGCCCAAGATCCGCTGAGCTTAGGAGTTTCGATTCATTTGTTGGACAGGTCGAGGGAATGGCAAGCAAGCAAGCATGTTGCCGTGTTGCATTTTCGCAATGATTTGTTTTGGGATGTATTCCGATCCCGAACACGCGAGGATGTAGTTTCTAATCTTGTGTTGCAAACAAGGAAGTTCCGCCAATTGCTGCTGGTCTCAACTGCCGAAGTTAGGCTAGCCGAAGCTTTGAAACCTTAAGCCCGGCATGAAAAAGAACAGCTCACCCATCCCAAAGCCAAAATGCTTAACCCTCAACCCAAAACCCTAAACCCTAAAGCCTAAACCGAGAAACCCCGCCAGCAAATCAAATCCCTCTAAGAAGTTACCCTGACTCTGGGACCTTCCGCGCTTCCAACCCCATAGCAACCGAAGCCTAGAGCCGTAATAGAGGGCCTTGGAGATTAATGTAGGGGCCTTAATGATTAGAACAGGGCTTTGTGGGTATATTATGCTATGACTCGCATAAGGAACCCCCAAAATAGTATAGGTAATTATTTAGGCGCCTATATTAGACTTAAGGTTCTGGTTGATAGACAAATTAGACTGTACGCTATGAACATACAGAGCTTATGATACCCTTGATGTTAGCCTTGGTGTGACAATGGTTATCCTTCTAATACGAGTACTGGCAGCACCAGTGTCGTCACAACTCTTACCAACATAATACTCAAAAAGCCTTCATAGTAGATAGAACGAACGAACAGTCTTCAACCCAGGTCATACGAATTCTGAAGCCCTGAAGCCTTAAAGCCCCCAAAAGCCCTAAACCTACTGGAGGACAGCTTAAGCCCCAAGCTCTTAACTCTAAGAGCCCGCGAGCCTTAAAAAAGTGGCGCAGGCGACGCTCGTAGTCCTCCGCAGCCTCCTCGATGGCCAAAGCGCAGCATATGGCGTGCGGCTTTAGAACTCAGGGCTTAGGGGCTAGGGGTGAATATAGGGGCCTAAATAATTAGAACAGGGTTTGCAGGTATATTAAACAGTGATTATAATAAGGAGCCCCCAAAGCAGTATAGGTAATTCTTAAGGCCCCTGTCATAGGCTGTACTAGATGCTAAACTTTCGGAATTCAGGTTCCAGACACCGACTTCTTGCCATCTCCGACTTCGCACAATCGTCGCTCAGGGGCTCCACGCAACTTGCGCGACAGTACGGGTAGTGCAGGACTATACTATGAATATAACAAGGAAACGCCAAAATAGTATAGGTAATTATTGAGGCCCCTATAGTATGGAGTAAAGGCTCAAGCTTTGGGGCACTGTCCGGGTTGTGAGGCGAGGTTGCCTTGGGATCTCTTTTTTCCGAAGCCCTGATTCCTGCTGAAGTCGACGCCACAGCTTTGTACCCAAGACGCTCTTGAGCTCTATGCTCCATGAGCCATCATAAGCCCTCAGCCCAAACCCCTCATTGCACTACTCAGAAAAGCCGAACCTGGAGGAGTCACACCCTGAAAGCCGACACCTCCATTCAACGACTTTACACATCTGAACGATCTTTCGTATAGTGGACAGGAATAGTAGAGGCATAACAAAATAGGGACATGTAGCAGATACCAGCTACTCCGAAATCGCTTGTCACCCCTATTAAAATCCTACATAATCCTTTTCTGCACCCTGGTAGAACCTCTACTCAAAATGCTTGCAGCATCAAGAAACCCAAGGCCAAACAGCAACTATGAAACCCTTCTGGAGCCGTGTGAAAGCGAACATTATGTCAACAACCCAAGACACTCGCCCAAACCGCAAACTCGAAACCTTAAAACCGAAACCCCATAGTGCAGGCTACATCCTGAGCCCGCCTAAAACCTCTCCCCTCAACCCCAAACCCACCATCTCCGCACCCTTTTCCAGCTGTGCTCTGATCCCCACTCCTAAACCCTAATGTCGGGGCCTTAATAATTAGAATAGGGTTTTGGCGTCCATTTATACTACAATTATAATCAGGAACCCTCGAAATAATATAGGTAACTGTTAATTAAGGCCCCTACATTTCACCCTAAACCCGTTCTAAACCCTAAGCCCTATAGACCCTACATGCCTAAACCGAGTCCCTGAACTCCAAAACCCTAAACCTCTAAAACCTAAACCCCGAACCCTAAACTGACTAAAGGGTTGAGGGTTACGGTTTCGGGTGAGTTTATAGGGTTCTACAAGGGCTTCTTTAACCTGAACTCCAAAACCCA